AAAAACAGAATTATCATTGTAGGAAGCAACATTTTCTTTGGAGAAATCAGATTTCTGAGCTGAAATATTATTTTCAGCACCAGAAAATGTAGGTTTCTGTGCAAAAAGACCGCATGTGTCTCCTGTGCAGAATAAATCCTAAATTATGAATAATCTTTGAAAACTACGCTGTTTTCGAAGACTTTCTTCCAGTGGGGAGGGCAGAAATACTAAAATTACCCATTGCTTCCATCAAGAATGAAATTAGCAAAGAACTACATCTTTAGCCAATAGTCCTCAAAGTTGTACCAGAATTATTCTCCCCTATTTTTTTGCTGCCCAGAAGTTTTGGATGACAATCCTCAGGATTCCCACTATCTCTCAGCCTAATCTACTTTGCAGGATTGCCACTGAACATAATTAGGTTATGTGCATTATTTTATTTTATTTTATTACAAGAATGATAAGGCACTGTGGAAGTAAACCCCTTCAGAGCAAGGTGAGTGAGCTTCTGACACTGAAACAACCCTGCCTAGTGACACTCTCTTTCTTTGTTTTGCAGATCCCACAATGCCATTTGTGGAGCCACATTTATATTACCCTGAAGTGATCTATATAACGAACCCGACAGATGTGATCACCGTGCCCTGCCGTGTCACTTCACCAGACATTGAACCAATTCTGCGGCTGGTGAGTACATTTTGACGAAGGGTGTATCCGCATTGCACAAATAAAGCAGGGTCACGCCACTCTGACTTGTCATGACTCAATACTATGGAATTCTGAGATTTGCTGCCATTTTGTGAGCTATTTAGTCTTCCCTGTGAGAGAGCTTTGGTACCCCACCAAACTACAAATCCTAGAATTACATAGCATTGAGCCATGGAGGTTAAAGTGGTATCAAACTGCTTTACTTCTGCAGTGTGGCAGCAGCCTAAGCCCCATCCAAGAGAGTCTTAACCTGAGTCTCATCCAAGAGAGCCCTGCTCAAAGTGGTGGAACAAGACTGTTAACTAGCCTTCTTCTCATGAGTTCAGGAATGCATGCAATTCCCAATAACAGATGTACACAGTCTGCCATCCCCTTAGTGGCATATGCAAGGGTTGAGTCCGCCTTAGGCCTGCATACATCTTTTTCTTTCCTTTTTTCTTTTGTCTTTGTAGAGGTTGGCATTCCCTTCCATCTTCTGCAATGGCCAACTCTTTCTCCCAAAATCCTAGTCCAACACCACTGCACCAGACTGCCTGGCTGTTGAACTATACCAAGGTTTGTAGAGAGATCTTGTAGCACCTTTGAAACTAACTGAAAAAAAGAAGTTGGCAGCATGAGCTTTCCTAGACTAAAGTCTACTTCCTCAGATGCGTTTGCTACAAGATCTCCCTACATACTGATTCTACATGGCTATATCTTTGAATCCTACCAAGGTTTACAATTGATCCGCACCAGTCTTCCACAGCTTGGTGCTCTTCAGAGATGTTGGACTAAAAGCCTCGTCATCCCCAGCCTCTAGGAACCTGTAGCATCCCATGGCTGCTTTTGAACAGTGAACCTTAAGAGCTCAGTGTCTTATTTTTAGAGTTGTGACTTTTCCTCCTACCTGACTTTGAGCCAAAACAATGTGCCAGTCATTTCTCGGTAGTGAACCGAAGGCTCCTTTAGTAGCCTTTTGGGTAGACGAGCGGATGTTTCCATTTTGGGCGGCTAAGAAATCTGGGCCAAAGAGTCTTCTTTAGAAAAGGAGACAGATGGGGTGGGGTTCGAATTCCTACCCAAAAAGGAAGGTGCTTCTTGGAGAGCCAAGGAAAGACATCTCCGAGAAAGAGGATGGATCTCTTTGGGAAGGTGCGTGTTTACCTTGGGCACCCGTCATTCTGTTCCCATTTAAGGAACGGACGTCGGTTGTTTTGCCCTTGCTGGGAAATATTGTGCGGAGACACGCTGGCTGCTTCCTGTCCTCCGAGGAAGTTGAGGAGGCAGGGAAGGAAGGAAGGAGTCAAAGGATCAGACAAATTTAGAACATCCTCCTCCAAAGTTAATAAGTGATCAGTGACTTTTTTAAAAAAAAATCTGGGAAAAGGAAAAAATAACTTGAAAATTTTCAACTGGTTGAAAAGATTATTTTCGCTTCTATCCCTCTCCCTTAAATCAGTCCATATATTTTTAAATATTGTCCAAAGAACTTTTAATACATGAGGCTTTTGAAACATGCATGCATGTCCAGACACATGGGCACACATGCAATATTCATTCCGTCTCGCTTTTCCAACCTTTGGGGGATACTCCGCCATAGCGTCCTCATATCCAACTTTATGCCATTTTATTATTCCTATAGCAATGTACTTTCCCCCTCAGAAATTACATTTCTTATGTTTCCATTATACTTTAAAATGACTGCACTCCATTGGCTTTAAATATTTATCAGAAAGTGCACGGACTGCTAATACTAAAAAGACTGTAACTCAACCTGTCAGCTGAAATCAGATTATAGTTTCTAGGGTTGGGCTTGAAATTCAAGCTTTCAACAAATTTCCCCTCAAATATAACTTTAATATTGGGTGGGTCATAAGTCTCCATAGAGGCAGAGTTATTCCTCCCAAAGGCAAATTCCCAAAGGTGGAATTCCAAAAGGCAAACCTTGTTTTTGCCATTTTAAATCATCCAGTTTGCGACTGCTTTAACTGTCCTGGCTAGGAATTCCTGGGAATTGTAGTTTTATTGTGGCACCACAGCTCTCTGATAGAGAAGGCTAAACGTCTCACAAAACTACAGTTCCTGGAATTCCCTAGCATTGAGCCAGGGCAGTTAAAGTGGTCCCAAACTGGATGATTTCTGCAGTGTGTTTTGGATCTAAGAGGCACAATTTTGCTATGCTATTGTATATAATAGGACTTGAGCATCCATGGATTTTGGTATCCATGGGAGGTTTTGGCACCAAACCCCAGCAGATACCCACTATAGTCTGTGAAACATGGTGCCCTTTCTAAAGACTTTCTTTTAAGAGGGAGAACAATGATTAAATTGTTCATTCTTCCCTATGAGAGTGGGATTTATGAAGGTTCACAGTCCTACCAAACACAGTACTTACCAGTACTTGGGTTATGTCTTGATTTAAGAGAGGGAGCATCACCATATCTGTCTCTTTTGCTTTAGCATTCTTTCCCAAAGACGTTCACCTATGAGAAGATGGAATGGGATCCCAAGAGAGGATTTCTCATCACTTCGCCTTCCTTCGAGTTCTTCAGCACCATGCTCCAGTGCATGGCGATGCTCAATGGCAACACACACATCTCCTACTACATCCCTCAGAAATTGGGTGAGTGGCTTTCTGCCACCGTGGCGCATGGGACAAAAATTCTGCCCAAGAATTGTGCTCCCCTAAATAAAATGTTCCTCTCCAGTCACCCAAATTTCTAGCACTGAGACATGGAGCATAGAGACACTGAAGGTTGTCCCTCCTTAGGACTCTTCTGTTTGCTGTTTCCACATTCACTCCATCCCTTTGCCTGCCCCTTTTCATTGGAAACTATATAATTCTAAAGGCTCAACTTAAATTTTAAGTCCTGGTTTTGACTTTTAAAGACCGACATGGCTTGGGTCCAGAGTATCTGAAAGACTCTGCCTGCTGCTGCACTGCAGAATTAATGCAGTTTGGCACCACTGACGTTTTGCTGATTATTTGCCAGATATTTGGTATCTTCCTTTCAGTATTTTATTTTGCTGTTTGGAACAAGAATGAAACTTCAAGTAGCTTCTGTGTTCTGTGATTTCATTTCTTTCATTGACAACTCAATCAAGCCTCTCAGTAGCCTTTCTATTGAAAGCCAGTGTGGTGTAGTGGTTTGAGCATTGAACTATGACTCTGGAGACCAGGGTTCAAATCCTGGCTCCTGGCCGTGTAAACCCAGTAGATGACCTTAGGCAAGTCACACACTGCAAGTCACACACTCTCAGCCTCAGAGGAAGACAATGGCAAACCCCCTCTGAACAAATCTTGCCAAGAAAGTCCTATGACAGGTTCCCCTTAGGGTCGCCATAAGTTGGAAATGACTTGAAGTTACAAAACAACAACTATTGAATACTGCAGGATGGGCACAGAATTTAGTATCACTTTTATGGATGCATAACTTGGAGTTACACCTCCGTAACTAATATTTATTCACATTCCCTGTGTAGTCACAATAGTGGCACCATTGTTACACTTGTAACTGTCTCCCCACCCTCCCTGTTTTATGCATCTGAGGAAGTAGACCAAGTCTATGAAAGCTTATGCTACAACTTCTTTTGCATAGTTAGTCTCAAGATCCCTTTGCATACTGATATTCCAGACTAATATGACTATGTCTCCGAATTCTTCTCCAATCTTGACAGTTAACATTTGGTTTTTATTTCTTTCAGAGAAAAACGTCTGGAACCTGACTCTAACAGCAGCTCCTGAAAAGCTAATGGTAGGAGAAACCCTTTACTTGGAATGCAAAGGGAAGACGACATTCAACGGCCGGTTTCCAGTTGTGTGGAAAGGCCCTGGAAGGATTGTGAGTAGCTCAATCGCTCTTTAGTCCTTTGTCTACCACTTAAAATGACAGATGTCAGCTTGAAGGTTGCTATTTCCTAGTCCTGTGGCCTCACTTCTTCAAGCATCCTCTGAATTTGGTTCATGCCATGATGGCAATAATTTCAGAGCTGTTTTTCAGATGTTCATATTGGACCTAAGAGCTTTAAGTGTCATTTCATGTCAGATGTTATTGCAATTACATGAGTCCCATGGGTGCCTTGTGGCCTGAGTATGGTAGCACTTCATGGCCAACACCAACATCCCAATCTGACTGACTTCCAGTTGAAAGTGAGACTGAAGGTAACCTCCAGCTTCCATTTTCAGCTAAGTTTTTGCTGATCTTTTTAGGTTGGTGGCTTTAGGGAGCTGGAGTCTTTTTAAGGTTTCAGATAAACCTGGAGCATGTCCAGAGGAGGGCAACCAAAATGGTGAAATATCTGGAAACCACCAAGCCCTGTGAGGAGAGGCTTAGGGAGCTGGGTATGTTTAGCCTGGAGAAAAAAATGTTAAGGGGTGACATGACAGCCCTGTTTAAGTATTTGGAGGGATGTCATATTGAGGATGGAGCAACCTTGTTTTCTGCTGCACCACAGAATAGGACACGGAGCAATAGGAAAAGAGATTCCACTTCAACTTTAGGAGGAACTTCTTGACAGTAAGAGCAGTTTGACAGTGGAAGATCCTGCCTTGGAGTGTAATTCTTTAGAGATTTTTAAACAGAGACTGGATGTGCTTTGATTGTGAGCCTTCCTGATTGGCAAAAGATGGTTGGAAGAGGGTTGGCAGAAGAGAAGAGGAATGGCAGAAGAGGGATGTCCCTTGAGGTCTCTTCAATGCTACGCTTCTAAGATTCCCCAACTTTCTAGCATTGCGGAGAGTGAGATATTAAAAATCATTTGCACCTAGAACAATGGAAATACACTGCCTCAGAGAGTGGTGGAGTCTCCTTCTTTGGAGGTTTTTTAACCTGGCTGGATGGCCATCTGTCAGGGGTGTTTTGGTTGTGTATTCCTGCATGGCAGAGTGTTGGAATGGATGGCCCTTGAGGTTTCTTCCAACTCTATGATTCTAATAAGCATTTGCTGAAATAGTTACTCCTTCCCATTTTGGAAATAGGTTGGGGAATCCAGAAGGACTGGCGATCCTTGAAAGCCTCCCAGGGACTGCATGTGAGCCATAGGCTACCATTTTTCCATCCCTGTAGTAGGGATTGTTAGCCAAACTCATAACTTCTTTGGTTCTTGTCTCTGCCTTCCCCCCCCCCTTTTTTTTTTTTTTTTTTTTAGAACTACAGTGCTTCAAAATATTTGGACAAGAGCCAGAGCGTGTACATAGGCTCAAGCAATATAACCATCAAGAATGTGACAATGGAGAACAAGGGGCTGTATGTCTGCAAAGTGTTCAACACAACGGTCAGCGTCGCCGTTACAGTATACAGTAAGGCTGGCTTCTCAATTGAGTATCTAAATTGTATAATAGAAACTGTTTAAAAAATAGCAACGCATCATAAAGATGAGGTGTCAGTCTTTGCACACATGCAAGAATGAATCATTTGCAAAAGTTCTCTTTCCACTGGGAATATGAGTGTTTTTCCTGTCCTTTCCATGCGACCCCCTGCCATGCAGGAGCACACAATAATTCCTGCATGGCATTTCTCCAGCCTCTGTTCATAAGCAGCATTGTGAAAATGCCCCTGTTGCATCAATTATTGGCTGACTGACTGACTGACTGACTGATTCTTCTGCAATTGTTTAAAGACCATTTAAAATGTACTCCTGATTTAAATTAATCACTATGTAGCTATGGAGAAAGGTTATCAGGTTCAGCTTAACAATTGCTGCACCATGTCCTATATCTTATATTATATTCTCTTTATTCTATCTGCTTGTCCTTTTCTTATGCTAGATTTGGGACTAAGAGTACTTTATCATCTGTACCTTCATTACTGATTTGCAAAGCAAACTTGAGGTTAACTCTTGGCATGCCATTTCTCTCTATTTAAGAGAAAGCTTTCCTCCGGGTTTCGTATAAGAAGGAGAAGTATTATGAAGTTGTGGAAGGGCATAAGATGCTGAAACTGCCTTGGAAGGTTGAAGCCTTTCCCTACCCCAATGTGACCTGGTAAGGAACAAGGAGTTACTTTGGATTGAAAAGACAAATGGGAGTTAAATCATCATTTTGATCCAATGAGTCTACTCTAGTTGAAACTAGGGGCTCGTCTACACAGGTCAGAATACTCTGAGCTTCTCCCAGAATATTCTAGCCCTATAGCTGTCCCGAAGTCTCCCCATTACCTCTGTACTCCACAGCAAAACTAGGTAGCTATCGACACATGCATCCCACTGTGCCCCTGGTGTGAGTTGCTCCTTTTGAGGTCAGAAACTACCTTATTTTCCTGCGTATAAGACTATTTTTTTACCTGCAAAATCTGTGGCTAAAGTGGGGGGGGTCGTCTTATACGCCGGATATAAGGATAATGAGGATAGAGGTGCTAAAACTCTATATTTTGACTGGAAAAATTGGGGGGTCGTCTTATATGCGGGTCGTCTTATACGTCGGAAAATACGGTAGGTGCCCCGCCATCAACCAAATGGCTGGATGCCTTGTTGTGCCCCCAGAGGGAGGAACTCACACCAGTGTTGGTGCCAGGGGACACAGTGGGGCATGTGTGTAGATAGCTGCCCATTGTCACTGTGGAGTATTCCAGATGTTCCTGCAAAATCCAAAGCAAAAGGTGAGGGGCTGAGCCAGGAATAGAGTAGATTCAGTGCAGAGCTAGTCTTCCCTCATGAAAGCAGTCCATACTTGAATCAAAGCTTTGGTCCTGCATCCTGTAAAAAGGTTGTGGTGAAGGCAGGGAAGGAACTGGTGTAATGCTTCCATGTAGGCATGCCCTAGGAGTGGTCCTAAGTCAGCTACTCTGGAATTTGCCATGGGCAATTTGGTGCAGGCAAGTCTAATTCTTGGGTCCGGTCCCAAAGGTGTTGGCGACTTATAGGTTGCTGAGCTGGAGAAGCACAAATTCTTGTGGTGTACTGTGTGTGTTGTGATGCTCATCTCAGTGAATTTGCTATGATTCCTGAATGAATTTGGAGACCACATGGGCTTTGTTGCTCTAGGAATGCCTTCATGAAACTGTTGCTCCCCAGACAAGTGGTAGGTGCATGGTACCTATAGATCAGCTACATTATACCTTACCACAACTGAATTTTAATGACTGCAAGCAATCCAAATAGTCCAAGAGGTTTTTCTCTGTTTCCTCTCTCAACGGTGTTTAATTCACTTTTTCTTGTGGGTCAAAACAGGTACAAGGATGGCAAGCCACTTCCCACAAACAACTGCTATGAACCCGATTCAGTGAAGTACAAGCTGGTCATCAGGGATGTGAGAGCAAAGCATACTGGGAACTATACCTTAATTTTGAACAACATGAAGTATGGTCTCTCTAAAAACCTCACCATCGAGCTGTTTGTGTTAGGTAAGCATTGGAGATAGCTTATTTCTCTGCTTCCAAGATCATGGACAAAGAACAGCCCAAGATGTGCTAGGTACTCAAGGGCATCATAGATTTTCTTCCTATCTTCTTTCTTAACTGTCCAGCCCTCACATCCATCCATGGTAATAGGGAATACAATGGCTTGTATGATTATGACTTTTGTGCAGGCAATGCCCAAGTCATTTTCCAGCTTATGGCAACTTTAAAATGAAAATATCTTGGGGCTTTCTTGGCAATATTTATTCAGAGGTAGGGACTGGCATTGCCTTCCCCTGAAGCTGAGAGAGTGGGACTTCTCTAAGGTCACACACACAGGTGATGCATGTACTTCTGAGCAGGCAAGTACAATTGCAGTAAAAATGATTTCTGCCAGTAGAACCAAGGAGGGATGTTTTCTGAAACCTTGGCATGTTTCTGCCCATCAGTGCAGGCAATATTGTCCAAGTGGATGAATGCAAAGTTGCTGGCCCCTCAAGGCTTGCATTGGCACCTGTCAAATATGACATTTCACAAGCTGTCTACAAATGCCATTTTGCACATGAGCTATGTATATCACAAGGTGTTGAATACTAAAGCATGTTGCATGCCACCTATCAAATACTGACAGGTTCTAAATAACATTGCAAGCCAAGAATCAAAGATTTCCAGATATTGTCAAAGGGAAATGTCAAAAGAAATGTAGACCCCAAATAGTCTGAAACGACTGCTTTGCCAGACTTAGTGCCTCCAGATGTCTCCAGGAGCAGCAGTCCATTCTGAACTGTTTCCCATTAAAACAACAACACGAAAACACCAGTTTTTCAAAAAGTGAAGGCTTTTTAGCTGCTTCCATTTCGCTGCTGTTG